CCCTAAAACCCTAAACCCCAAGCCCAAAAACCCTAAACCCCAAGCCCTAAACCCTAAACCCCTAAAACCCCCAAAAATCTGACAGAGGCGAGGGACCAGAGGTCTGACTGAATCATGCTTTTGACCTCCATCTCCTCCACGGGCTTCTTTCCCCAGCCTAGGACGGGATCCCTTTGTTTAGGGCTCGTGGGCCTGTGGGGTTTAGGGTTTTGGGTTTAGGGTTTAGGGTTTTTTTTTTTAAAGTGCAGTGGCCCCTTTCACTCAGCTGACGCGCTTGGCTCAAAAGGCTTGCCTGTAGCAGGCATGCACTCTACCACACACTCTCGCACTTACGGCAAGAGCAGCAGAAGTCTAGAGGCAGAGACAGCTCACAGCTCACACGTCACGACTTCGACTCCGATCACGGCGAGCAGACGACTCGACGTCAGAAGGCTCACGACTCACGCGCTCACTCATCACTAAACCCTAAACCCTAAACGCTAAACCCCAAACCCTAAAAGAGCCCTGGGTCCCCAGCAGCAGTTCTGCTTGACGACATTGTCCAGGGCCTGCCTGATTCGGCAGTCAGGCTCGAGGCTTCGAGGGTTGTTTCAGGGCTTGAGGGCTTTAGGGCTTTAGGGTTTAGGGCTTTAGGGTTTTAGGGCTTTAGGGTTGGGCTTTAGGGCTTTAGGGTTTAGGGTTTTTTTGTGGGCCCTTTTCCATATGCACTTAGCAGCGGAAATTCCCCACCGGGAGGAGCTATTTTGACGGTCGGGAAGCTATCGTAATAACCAAATCCAAACTCAAAGCCTAGGGTTTGAAGATTAAGGTTCAGGCTCGAGGGTTTTAAGGTGTATTTACACAACAGGATCAGAGCGAAGCTTTTTCAAAACCTGCAAACCCTGTGTTGAAGAATTCTAAACCTGCGCTGCCTTTCTCGCCATGCGAGCGCTGAAGCCGAAAACCCTGCACTAATTACAGACGGAACAGTAAACTCTACAGGCCCGTTCTGTAGTTTCGAGCAGCTGTCCCCAAACCCTGGGGCACATAGGTCGAAACACTTTTCCTCCGAAATCTTAAGCTGGCATCGAATAAAAGCAGCTGTACAAGAAAAGCTGTTTATGCCGAATCCAAACTCCGCAACCCCAAACCGAAAGACCTCACAACACAAGAACTCGAAAACCAAACCCCAAAAATCCAGACCCCCAAAACCAACAGCCGAAGACCTAAACCACGAAAAAACAACAAAGGCCAACAAAAGATCAAAAACTCCGAAGCCCAAACACCTCAACCCCTAATCCCTAATCAAACCTGAAGCCCTTAAAGCAACCCCTTACAGGAACCCTTGCAGGACCCCGCACCTGACGCTGTCCGGTGTCCAGACGACCGCCTGCTGCTGAAAGGAGGAGAGCTCCTGCCCTTCAACCAGCGAACGCCTCTCCAGGAATCTCTTTGCTTTTGTTTATAGAAATGGTTAAGGGTTTGGGTGCCAATAACGTTTTGACCGAAACGTTTTGACCGAAACGTTTTGACCGAGTTTTTTTTTGGAACCATACTTTGCATCTGGGGGTGGGCTGCTGGCTTCTGGGCTGGGTTGGCCGGGGCTGGGCTGGGCTGGGCTGGGCTGGGCTGTGGGGTGGGCTGGGCTGGGGTTAGGGGGTGGGGGGGTGGGGGGGTGGGGAGCTGGGTTGGGGGCTGGCTGGGCTGGGTTGGGGGCTGAGGTTGCTGGGGGCGTGTGGGGCTGGGGGCCAGGCTGGCGGGTGGGGTGGGCTAAACGGTGGGGCTGGGGCTGGGGCTGGGGCTGGGCTGGGCTGGGAGGGGGCTGCTGGTGGATTGTTTCGCAAAAGAAACAAAAATTGATTTATTCGAAAATGGGAAGGCGTGTTTCTACCGAAAAAATGAGCTTCCGGATGGCCAAAAGCAACAAGCAATTTCTATCTATTTCTTTCTTGAGGGCTTAGGGTTTGGGGTTTAGGGTGTAGGTTTGGGGTTTGGGGGTTTAGGGTTTGGGGTCTTGGGGTCTTGGGGTTTTGGGGTCTTGGGGATCCCAATGTTGTAGGCATGTGTATGTATAATATATCTATATATATATATAGAGAGAGAGAGAGAGCGAGAGTTACTTATTCGTTTTTTATTTCAGGAAGCCTGAGAGACAGTACGAGCCCCCAACTTAAAGTCGCGCCAGCCCTGAACCCTAACCCTAATGCCCTTGAAAGTCCTGAACCCCAAACCCTGAACCCTGTATTAAACCCTAAACCCCACTATCTTCAAGTCCCTGTCTCCCAAGGCACTGACACCAACCTAGGGGCCTTGTAAGAATCAGAATAGGATTTTGGGGTATCTTACCGTGTAGTTATAATAAGGGACACTAAGGAAGAATCCCTAAACACTAAACCCTGTTCCAACCTCCGGTGCTGCACTTAGCAACACCCGAAACCAAGACCTCACGGCTGATCTGGGGGACCCCTAAGGCCCGCTAGTGTTAAGATCTAAGCCTCCTTTGCCAAAGAGTCCTATGTACGCTTCTGGGGGATATTTCCCTAGAACCATGCTAGTAATACCCAATAAAAAAACCTACATTCCACCATACAGGTACATAGGACCCTTTGGGGTTTCTAACCCCAGTGTAGAACCCCCAAGCGCTGAGCGGGACAGAGGGCACTAAAGAACACTGAGGAGAAAAAGGGTCTTCGGCATCTTTGGCAGGGAGGCGTTGAGGTTTTGAGGGGTTTGAAGAAGACACTGGATGGTTACCGACCCCCAAAGGGAACTTCTGGTATGATTCAGGGAAGTATCCCCGATAGCAGTACATAGGACTCTTTGGGCTGCATTTCCTTTGGCCTCAGACTTCCTTGATATGAGTATAATATAAGCTATTACTTGGAGGTTCATGGGTAGTTGTAAGTAGGGTTATAAGTAGGATAACTATACACTTATAACCCATATCAGGGGGCTTATACCCCCAGTTATAACTACCCATGAACCTCCAAGTAGGGCTGAACAAATCCGGAGCAAGCCTGGCTCAAGCGACGGGCGGCCGCCAAGGCGTCGATCTCGCTCATGTTCGTGGTCACGGAAGCATTGGACCCGACAGATACCTCTTGGGGTCTGGTTGTTTCTATTTAGGGGAGGGTTCTACCCTAAACCCTAAACCCTAAACCGTGGTGGTTAGGAGCTTTGGGGCCTGCACTGGCACAAATGATGTTTAGGAACCGAACCTTGTACACTCTCACCAAGTCTAGGACATTCTCAGGTGGGTAGTTGCCGTTATGGGAGCCTTAGAGATCTATATACCTTCTAGAAGAGAAGCCCTACATACCCTAAACTCCGCACCTCTAGTTTCCTTTAACCAAGCACTGAAGGATCTGCAGCTTCAGTTTCAGCTCCCCGGCAGTAAAGTGCTCCACTTTCAGAGGCGCAAGCAAAGCCTACAAGCCAGAACCCAAATGAACCCCCCAACACCCCAAGACCCTGAAATAATAACGTCCGTATAAAACCTTGAACATCCTGTAAGCCGCATAAAGCTCTTCGTAACTTGATAGTAAGCCCTGAACCCTAAGCCTTGAACCCGAAACCCCTACCCGAAAGCCCCAATGCAGGGGCCGAAATAATTACCAATGCTATTTTGAGGGCTGCTTTATATTAAAACAATAATTATAGTGATGGGCGCCAAAACCCTATTCCAATTAATAGGGCCCCTAAACCCGAACCCCTGATAGTAGCCCTTAGAACCCGTTTATTAAAGAACGCCCTAAGCCCTATTCTAATTATAAAAGCCCCTATATTCGACCCTAAACCCTAAAACCTATACTAATCATTAACTATTCAAATTCTTAAAGCCCCCTATCTTGGACCCTCGCTTGCTCTCAAAAAAACCTGGCCTTTCGCCCTGCGCAGGCGGGCGGCGTCCTGAGTTGCTGCCCAGGCGCCTGGGGGAATTGTTTCATGGGGGCCTTAAGCGTTTAGGGTTTTAGGTTTTAGGTGCTTCAGGTCTTAGGGCTGCGGGGCTTAGGGGTTTAGGGTTTTAGTTAGGGTTTTGGTGTTTTAGGGGATCGTTCGAAGTCCCCCAATATGGGCTGTGAGTGTAGCCTAGCAGCCACCCTACTTAGTAACCCCACTTATAACTACCCATGAACCTCCAAGTAAAGGCCTTGCTTAGTAGTGGGCGCGTTCAGAAGGTTTTCATAGAGGGGTTTGGACAGAGTTTTGGAGGCTGCTCGGGAGGTTCTAGGTTGTACTACATAGGTCGTCATGATTTGAATAGGGCTTTGCATTACATTATAATATACTATATAGTATAGAATAGTGTAATATAGTACAGTAAAGTAGTGTAGTATAGTGTAGTATAGTGTAGTATAGTGTAGTATAGTGTAGTATAGGTATTAGTATTAGTATTAGTATGAGTATGAGTATGAGTATTGTTAGTATGGTATAGTATAGTTATAGTAGAGTAGAGTATAGAATAGCATAGTATAGTATAGTATAGTATAGCACTAGTATTGCTATACTACATAGTACAAAATTACAACTCTTTGGGGATGAGACCCAGAGGGACCTTCTTTAAGTAGAGCATTTCATACTGACTGTTTAACAGTCGGGCTCAGGGGCTCCAGGTTGAGGGGCAGGGCTTTACGGGTTTGGGGCTTTAGGGCTTAGGGTTTAGGGTTTTAGGGATTTAGGGTTTAGGGATTTAGGGATTTAGGGGTTCAGGATCTACTTGGAGGTTCTCATGGGTAGATATGAGTTAGGGTTATAAGTAGGATAACTATACTTATAGCCCATATTAGGGGACTTCTAACCCTACTTACAACTACCCCACGAACCTGCAAGAAGGTTTTGGAGTTTGGGGTTCAGGCTGTAGAATCCCTAAGCTCCACCTCCAAGGCGCAGGCGAGAAGGTCTGGGAGTTCTGCCCCGAGATCTTGAGCAGCGATACCCATAGGCCCCTAAGTATTTCCTTTTAACGGTTTATACTTAGAATCCTATAAGGTAATCCCAAAAAGGAACTACTAAGGAGCCTATGGGCAGCGATAGCACCAAAGCTTCAGAGACGCCCAGAACCCTGAATGTTAAGCAGTAGGCGTAAGGAGAAACACTCCGAAGCGAAAAGCAGAAGCTTAAGGCTTAAGGAGACAGCTCCCGAAGTCAAAAGCTGCACAAGCTGAAGAAGCTGAAGACTTGAAAATGCTGCGCCCAGATTCCACACACTAAACTAGGTACTAGGTTTAGATAAAGGTTTATAGGGCTAAAGAACCCCAAAACTTCGAGGCCGAACTCGAAGATTCAATCGCACGTGAAACCCGAAGACAGGGCACGACGATCGTGATCTCCATCGGCGTGCTGATGGGAGTGTGACTGTGTCTTCGCATCGACAGCCGCCAATCTCAGGGAAATCAGGATTTCAGGTTAGAGTGCTGAGGTTTCCAGGGTTTTGGGGATTAGGCCAAGCTCTCACTTTCGGAAAACCAGAGAGCACACTGGCTTTCCGGATTTATGGGTTTATGGGTTTAGGGTTTATGGGATTACGGGTTTAGGCTGTATGGGTTTAGGCTGCATGTTGCACCCTTTGGGATCAAGCCCTTAGCCCCCCCCCTACTCAACTCTGTAAAACGCTAGAAGCATGGCCAAGGCAAACGGACGTCGAAGTGCCAGGCGCAAGGCGTCCTTAACATGGTTTCAGCGCTGACTTCTGGGGTGTATTGGGCTCGCTCACTGAGCATCAAAGACTTGAAACCCCAAGCCACACACTCTAAAAGTCGAAAGCCCTGAAAGACCGCCAACTCTGACCTAAACCCTCAGAGCCCCGAACAACCTAAACACCCACAAAGACTCAAGCAAAGCTGAAACCTTAAACATCAAACCCCGATGGACTAAATACCCTCGAAGACCAAAAACGCGAAAACGTCAAACCCCTCAGCCTACCAAACCCAACACACCATCAAAATGACGCCAAGTCCATTCCCTGAGCCCTGGAGAGTAGACCCAAAACCCTAAACCTTAATCAACGCCAACCCAAAGGGTCCAAAGTACCTATATAGTAGAATGTAGGGTTTCTATATTATTATGATTTGGGAAAGTATCCCCCATAACAGTACCTAGGACCCTTTGGGCAAGTCCAAGCTTCACGCCCAAAGCCCTGAACCCTAAACCCTAAAGCCCAACCACTAAGCCCCAAATCCCTAAACCGCAAATCCCCAAAACCAAAAACACAACACGAAGCCCCACATCCAACCCCTAAACCCAAGAACCTTTACTAAAACCCTCAACCCTACCCCAAAAACCCCAAAAACCGTAAGCCCGAAACCCAAAACCCCCAAGCCCTAAGCCCTAATCCCAAAACCCGAAACCCTACACCCTAAACCCCTAAGCCCTAAACCCTAATCCCCAAGTCCTATACCTTATACTATAAGCCCTAAACCCTAGACCCTAAGCCCTAAACCCTACAACCCAAGTCCCACCTCCGCTTTCCGGGGACTCCGGTAGCTCCGGGGGGTCCACAGAGAGGCCGTAGATCGGAGCCTGGAACAGGCCCGCCGGAGCTTCGGATTTTGGGGCCCCCTTTTTTGAGGGATCTCTAGGGGCCCTTAGGTTTAGGGTTTAGAGGTTAGGGTTTAGGGTTTAGAGTTAGGATTTAGAGGTTAGGGTTTAGGGTTTAGGGCTTAGAGTTTAGGGTTTAGAGGTTAGGGTTTAGGGTTTAGTTGTCTTGTTGAGGGTTTAGGGTTTATATGGTTTAGGGTTCTGGACCCTTGCGCCCTGCAATGGCACCTTGGTAGGAGCGTCACTCAACCTGCGCAGCATCTCCAGGTTCGGGCTCTTGCAGCATTCCTTCGACAAGGGGGTTTTAGGGTTTAGGGGTTTAGGGGTTTAGGGTTTAGGGGGTTAGGGTTTAGGGGTTTAGGGTTTAGGGGTTTTGGGGGTTAGGGGTTTAGGGTTTTAGGGGAAGGCTTCCGCACCGCTCCTAAACCTTAAGCTGTTGACCCCAAACCCTAAGCCCTAAACCTCAATCCTACAACAAGCTCAAGTCCTAAACCCTGAAACCTTTAGGGTGAACCCTAAGACCTAAAACCTTTTTAGGCCCCATACACCGTACCCTAAACCCCAAGCGCCCGTAGAACCATAATAAACATACTCTTTGTCATAATTGAATAACCCCTAGGGTTTTGTTCTACTATAAAATAGTTATATATACAGAGCATGATTCAAAAGAACACACCTAGAGCCCTAAACCCCATAGACCCTGAACCCCTAAAACCATAATCCCAAAGCCCCATACCCTACACCCTCAACCTTGCAGGCCTAAAACCGTAAAACCCTAAGCCCTATATGCCTATACCCCAAACGCCTATAGCCTAAACCCTGAGCCCCCTCCCTAAACCCCAAACCCTATAAGCCCTAAACCCTAAACCCTGGGCCCCCTCACACCCCAAACCTTGAGCCGAGTTTCCAGTTCCAGAGGGCTCGGGGGAGGTCGCCGAGCCTTTCATGTACCCATGAGTAGGCTGCTGTTAAGGAACCTAATTTTCAGTTACCATAATAACGGGTACATATATATATATATATAAGAAATCAGTGGGTTCCTTATTACAGTAACTTCATTTACATTCTGAACAATACCCAGATGAGCTGACTGTGCCTAGACGTCTCGTTGCTTTTGGAGGGGGGTGATGTAGGGTTCTAAATTTCAGGGGGTACCTCACATAGGGGGTCCTGTGATAAGGATCTGCTTTCCAACGTCTCAAAACGGTGCTGACTTAGCCCCAACACTGACACTGGAACAGCCTATCTATCGCCGAAGCAGGGGTTCGAAGCAACGTATCAGGCCCAGGAGAGCGCCCCATCAAGGGTGTTGCATGGAAATGAACTGCAACATAGCGAAATGAGTGCCAGATAAAGGATGTCCCTGACTGCATCAAGTCGTCATCGGAAGAAAGCAACCTTCCGGGTTTTCGATCTGCCAAATTTCCCATGGACAAAGCAGCCGAATGAAAATATGAAGGCACATGAAGGGCACAAAAGCCTGCCAAAGTAGAATGGAGAACCGTCCACTCCAACATCAAGCGCGGGCGCGACGTCAAAGAGTCAACTGCGGAGTATTTTTTCGTGTAATTATAAAACACCGAAGACCCAAGAAAGACTGCGTAATCGTGCCACCGGAGAACATGCACATGGAAAGTCAAGGTTGTTCTCACAAACACTGCTGACTCGTCCAGTCCAGCGCGAGGGCGACGTCAAGGAGTGCACTGCGTTGTAAGGTGTAAAGGTAAACCACCGAAGCCCCGTGAGGGCTGTGTGAGCGTGCCATCGGAGAACACGTAAGAGGCTCATACCCCCGGGTCGTTCTTTCAAGCACCCAGTGATATGAACGGATGTAGCGAACCGCAGCACAAGCATCATCAGCACCAGCCGGATGTCTTTTCTCTGTCCGATTTCCCGTTTGCAAAACCGCAGCCCGAGCATCATCAGCATCAGCTGGATTTCTTTTCAAGCTATCTGTCGGATTTCCCGGCCGTTGAACCCACGCCTGCCGTAGCCATTCGACCCAGCGAATAGACTCATTTAGCAAACCACAGCGCGAGCATCATCAGCATCAGCTGGATTTCTTTTCAAGCTATCTGTCGGATTTCCCGGCCGTTGAACCCACGCCTGCCGTAGCCAATCGACCCAGCGAATAGACTCATTTAGCAAACCACAGCGCGAGCATCATCAGCATCAGCTGGATTTCTTTTCAAGCTATCTGTCGGATTTCCCGGCCGTTGAACCCACGCCTGCCGTAGCAATTCGACCCAGCGAATAGACTCATTTTAGCAAACCACAGCGGGAGCATCATCAGCATCAGCTGGATTTCTTTTCAAGCTATCTGTCGGAATTCCCGGCCGTTGAACCCACGCCTGCGGTAGCAATTCGACCCAGCGAATTGACTCATTTAGCAAACCGCAGCCCGAGCATCATCAGCATCAGCTGGATTTCGTTTCAAGCTAAATGTCCGATTTCGCGGCAGTTGAACCAACTGCATCCGTAACAGTTCGACCCGGTGAATGGACGGATTTAGCGGATGTCAAGCTAATTGACATTTCACGGCTATTCAACACAGGGCAGCCCGTAGCCGTTTTTACGCAGTAATTGAATCTGAACGAATATAGCGAACCTCAGTGCGAGCATCATCAGCATCAGCTGGATTTCTTTGCAAGCTCTCTGTCGGATATCCCCACGGCAGCCGTAGCAGTTCGACCCAGTGATTGGACGGATTCAGCGCACCGCAGCGCGAGCATCATCAGCATCAGCGGGATTTTTCTCAAGCTTCTTTCTGTCCGATTTCGCAACAGTTGAACCAACGGCATCCGTAGCAGTTCGACCCAGTGAATGGACGGATTTAGCGAACCACAACGCGAGCATCATCAGCATCAGCTGGATTTTTTTTCAAGCTAAATGTACGATTTCGCGGCAGCTGAAGCAGTTCGACCCAGTGATTACTTGGATTTAGCGAACCGCGGCGCGAGCTTCATTAGCTGGATTTCGTTTCAAGCTCTGTGTCCGATTTCGCGGCCGTTGAACCGACACCTGCCATAGCAGTTCGACCAAGTGAATGAAGGGACTTAGCGAACCGTAGCGCGAGAACCGGATTGCAACTGCAGGCCACCACTCCGACCCCAAATATCTCACGGTATTCCGAGCAGCCTGCCAAACCTCCGCAAAGCAGCATGGGCCGGAGCCACCCAGGTAGCATGCAGCCATCCATTCATAAAGCCAATCACCGGCGTCATGCGACAGGCGTTTTTTGTGCCCCGCAACGCGTGGAAGGGGGAGGGCAGGAACCCGGAACCGAAGTTATCCGGCGGGTCTCCGTAGCTTCGCACCTTCCGTCCGTGGAAGGCCCGGGGACCCCGTGCCCGTCGAGGGGCTGGAGGAGGGAGACCGCCGCTCCCAGGGTCCCTTAACTTCCGATATCTTCCGATCAACTTTTCGGAACCTCCCGTTTAGGCTGAAACTCTCAGATCGGGCGCTTTCTCGATCTTCAGGGTGTCTGGGTGGAGCCGAGGGTGTTGCGACTCTCGGATCTGTGTTAGAAAGGGCCTTCTACGGTTCAATGTAGCGGAGTTTGGGATATGTTAGAGGCTTACCCATAGGCCCCTAAGTAGTTTCCTTTTTGGGAGTACCTTATAGGATTCTAAATAGAAGCCATAAAAAGGAACTACTTAGGGGCCCATGGGTAACGTACAGTATCAGTTCGGCAGACTTGTCAGGGTTCTTAGCATGGTACTGTGTATATTTATGCGAGCCCAAAAAAAAGGCGAGTTTCCCGCGGACCCAAGCTGCCCGAACCCCAAGCGAACCCCAAGCTTCCGAATTACTAAATAAAGCCCTAAACCCTAAACCCCTAAACCCTAAACCCCTAAACCCCTAAACCCCTAAACCCCTAGACTCCCAAACCCCTAGACCCCTAACACCCTGAACCCCTAAAACCCTAAAACCCCTAGACCCCTAAAACCCCGAACCCCACGTCTGATACTTTGCCCGTTTTGATCCCATTCTTGGCACAAGGCTCCTCTTTGAATGCATAGCAGACTGCCATGCTTACGTCCTGCTGAAGCTAAATGTAACCTAATAGCTCCTTGCAGGGCCCATCTCGCATTGAACTTGCAGTTTTAGAGTAGGAACCCAACACAGATATTGATGTTTTTTCTGGCCGTCTTGGTCTTTTGTCCTTAGTTAAATCCTTGGCACCAGAAACGGGAACCACAACATAGAACACCTTAACCCTAGACTCGAAACCCTCAACCAACACCCTAAACCCTCCACTTGCAGCCGAAGCACCTCTGGCTGCGGACAGTGATCCACGCAGGCTTCCATACACATAACAGGCCCGTCAGCCACTGACGAGCTTTGGAAGCCGTGATGAAAAACACAAGAGATCATGGTACCGAAAGCCTCAAGGCAAGGCTAGAAAGGGTTTACTCCTGAAGAACCTACCTACTCAGGGTTACGGAGCCTCTGTTTAAGTGGTCCACCCACCACGTAGACAGGCATCAGAAGGGTGAAGAAGGCTCGGACCGGTTGGGGCACAGGGCTTGGGGTTTAGGAGCGGGTTTGGGCCCGGGGGGTGTGAGTCTAACCCTAAACCCTGTGGGCTCCGAACCTCTGCTCGGGCATGGTCACCCTGAATTTAAGCGGCAGAATCCCTGAAAACAGCTGAAAACTAAAGCATCCAGCCCACTAACCCCTTCGGTGGGCATGCGGTTCCTTAAGCCCTGTTATGCCCTGTTCAAGGCTTGGCTTTTGGGCACCAGGTTTAAGGCATCAGGGCCTTTACAAACGCGGTGTGGAGTAGGAGTTTTGGGTGAGGATTGGGGGGGGGGGGGGGGGGTTGATTGTGGGATTGAGGCGAGCACTTTAGAGCCTGAGGTTGTGTGGTCTCAAGCAAAATCACCCTAAACAATAAACCGCCAAAGTGCTCCCACGATGCAACAGATAGAGAAGAAGCCCACGACGATCATCAGCACTTCTGTAGCACGCTCGGTGACGCTTTCCTCGTGCAAGGTCTGTGGTTTAGGCTAGGATGGGTTGGAAGGCCCCTTAACCTGAACCCTAAGCCCTACTTCGCTCTCGGCCTCCTGTCACCTGAATAGTTGGTAACCCATAGGGTTTAGGGTTTATGGTTTAAAATGTGGCCCAGTAGTCCATATGAGTCCATATGCAGGTAGCTCACACCTGCATGTGGGATCACTAAACCCTCAGGCTTTGCGGGAAGCCAATAAGAAAAGATGCAAGAAGGAGCATCTCTTCCCAATCCGAGAAGCCAACGTTCGGGAAGTCAGGAAAATCCAGGGCAGGCCAAACCCAAAACACTATATAAACCTCAACCCTCTAAAACTCAAGCCCTATAAACTTAGAACGCTGTATACCCTGAACCCTGAACCTATAGTCGATACTATTACGGCTTCTTCCGGCCTCTACAGTACCTGCAGCGCACAAATACGGAATATACACACAAGGACAGCGCAATCGGAACCCCTAAAAGACTGCAGCTTTCAGGGGACTGCAGGTTAAATTCAAACCCTAAGCCCAAAAACCCTAAACACCTGCATGATATCATGCAAAGCAAGCGCCGAGCCGGAAAACGCTCACCAAGGCCCGCAGCCTCACCGTAGTAAAGCCCTCGGCAGAAACCCAAGCCCCTTAAACCAAACACCCCATCCCTAAACCCTCCACCCCAACCAAGCTGCCACAATGACCGGCTTCGGCGTGGAGGAAAGCCTCAGGCCAGTTCTAATGGTAACTATGACACTAGCTGTCGTAATAGCAATAATAATAATTAATAAGTCATCATCATCATCATCATCATCACCATCATCATCATCATAACTACCATGTATTTTATGATGCATGGGGATTCCAATGTCCACAGAGGGAGCTTAGTGTTGTCTGGAGGTGGCTGTACGTCGTAGGTTCCACCAAGCAAAACACAGTGCGACATTAACCAAACCCTAAACCCCCCCAAAGTAGGTGACATAATGGCCCAAGACCCATGAAAGGCTCTTGCTTTACATACTTTTGGTGTCCAGGTAAGCCCTAAACCTGAAAACGCGAAACCCCAAACTGGATTGCCTGAACCCGAGAGGCTAAACCTTGAACACCTACGGTTGATGATATAAATCCTGCATAACCCATAATAAGGAACACTGCATAACCCATAATAAGGAACATACCACAATTCCCATAGTTTAGGGTCCTCAAGGTACTGCAGGTTTTATATGATCAACGGTATTACCACCCCCAAACTCCAAACCTTCAATCACAGCCCTACAGCCCCAAGTCCTTAAACATCCCTAAGCCTTGAGACCACGCTTCGAACCTCATCCAATAAACTTTGAGCCCTAATTCTTGAAGCCCCAAGCCCTAAAACCCCCTCAACCCTGAACCCTAAACCCTAAAAACCAAAAACCCTAAAGCCCTAAACCCTAAAACCCTAAAGCCCTAGACCTAACACCTTGAACCTGGAGCCTTGGAGCCCTGAGCTTTCAAGCCCCCTCGGACCCAAGCCCTCGAGAACCCTATGAACCTTGAACCCTTGGCGCCATGGAAGCCCTAAGTAGCCCCGAACCCTCAGCTACTTCGAACTTCAATGTAGCATTCTAGGGCGTCACCTTATCGACCCCTAACCTCAAATTAAACTTCTTATAAGGCTCCTATAGATGAACTTCTTTGGAGCAGCTCAGCAGTTTCCACCTCCTCGGGCAGAACGCAAGCACAAGCGCAGCTTTCGAGGCCAAAGTAGGGAGCCCCCGCGCAGTCAGCAGCACAGGCCCGACGGTAGGCCTGACCTCGGCTCCGGATCCAGTACTTGGAGGTTCATGGGTAGTTATAAGTAGGGTTATAAGTCCCCTAATATGGGTTATAAGTATAGTTATCCTACTTATAACCATACTTATAACTACCCATGAACCTCTAAGTACTTTTGGGGTTTTCGGGATTTGGGCGTTCAAGCCTAAATTGGCCTAAATCCTATAAACTCTGAAGGGTTGACGGGTTCAACCCTGAACCCTAAACCCTACAGGGTTGACGGGCTGCCCTAAGCTCCCAAAAAACAAAACCCAAAGGGTTTTGACGGGATCAATGGGAATCCTAAACCCTAAAGAGCTGACGAAGGGACCCTAACTGGAGCCTCACTCTAAACAGTCTTGGGTTTAGGGTTTACGTTACGCTGCCATAGCCGGCTTTTTGTAGGTCCTCTTCTTATACATCTACTAGATTATAAACCCTAGTATGGAACCATACGACCCTGCAAAAAAGTAGGTTTTGGTAGACTAAGGTATACCCATAGGCCCCTAAGTGGTTCCTTTCTGGGATTATCTTATAGGATTCTACATATAAACCCATAAAAAGGAACTACTTAGGGGCCTATGGGTATAAACCCTAAACCCTAAATCCTAAGCCCTAAACCCTAAATCCTAAGCCCTAACCTAAATCCTAAACCCTAAACCCCAAATCCTAAACCCTAAATCCCCTTAGGGGCCTATGGGTAGGGCTTCGAGGAGGATCCTCCCCTTCGAGCACCGGGTGCCCCGAATCGGTCAAGAGCCAGAAACGGCTTGGCGAAAAGTTCAAAACAAAACCCTAAACCCCTAAAACCCCTAAAACCCCTAAACCCCTAAACCCCTAAACCCTAAGCCCTATAAACCCTAAACCCTAAACCGTAAACCCAATCCCTAAACATCCTGAGGCCTTCAAATTCTACGCCAGACTCTACGCCTCACAACCCCAAGGGTTCAGATGCCGAAAGAAGCACGTAGCCTGCAAGCTTAATCCGTGACCCTAAACCCCAAACCCTAAACCCTAAACCTTAATCCGCGGCTACGTGGCCACCGGAGACGTCAATGTAGCCCGGTAGGCAGCTTGGCGACACCGGGCGGTCAGTTGAAGGAACTCTCTGTTGGAGAGTCCTTCAGGGGTTGCTTGAGGGTTTAGGGGTCTTGGTGGTTTTAGAGGTTTAGGGTTTTGGGGTTTAGGGTTTTTAGAGGTCTAGGAGTTTAAGAGTTTAGGGTTGTTTAGTTTCAGAGTTTGGGGGCTAGAGGTGTAGAGATGAAACAGTCGAGGGTGGTACGAAGACCTTCTTATGATTGTTGCTGCTTGCGGTTTACTTGGTCGTTTAGGTCGCTGCGATTTTCAAACACAGTATATACTATTATTATCAGATAATTTAGTAGGTGTATTTATTATAACTAATAATATACCATATAATCCAATATATACTTTAAGGGGGTTACGGTTCTCAGGCTTTCTTGGCCTTGTTGCCGTTGCCGACACTGATATGAGCACAGTGCGTGCAGAGGTTGGTGTACTGAGTGTCTTGGACTGACCACTTTTAACGTTGCTGTGCAGAATCCTGCGGCCATGGAAGGGTGACTTGTACTGTATGACGGCTCCTTGAATCCATGCATGCCGTGTTCATGGCCACAGAAGCCCTTCACTTCTAGCTTTCTTTCTTTGAACGCCCCACCCCGCACACCCTAAACCTTACACCCTGAGCCCCAAATCCAAAACCCTAAGCTGAAGGCCCGAAGCCTCAAGCCGTTGAAACCCGACGACCTAAACCCTGCAAGCGCACACGCGCAACTCTCAACCCCGGTGCCCTAAACCCCCTAAACGTCCTCGCACTCTTCGGGGAACTGTAGGCATTTACCTGAACCTGTCCTGGCGGTTGAATGGAGTTTTATGCTTCGGGTTTGAACTTGCATGGGCCTTGACGCATGGGTATAACTTTGGCAAAACAGTAGCGGCAGAGCCACTGTCGTGGTTTAGCGCTCCAACACGTTCAGACTACTTGCAAAGGCAAATGCAACAGCCAACATCGGCTGTGATAGACCCATCAAAACTTTGATCACCTCCGAAACAACCACCATCGCTAGAATCGTGATCATGTTCGTCACCACCATCATCGTCATCATCGTCACATGCCTCTTCTTCTTCAGCATCTTCACTGTGCTCTGCATCCGTACCGGCATCAACATCGTGTCCATGCTCATCGGTTGATTGATCCTCACCTCGATCCTCAGATGACTTGTATTCCCGTTCGAGCAGCGAATGTTGGACGTTTCAAAGTCGGGAGCACGATGAGGTGAAGCTCTGGTAGGCAACTTGCGGTTCAGGGCTCTTGATGCTTTGAGGGGCTGCCCCCGTTACGCAAGAACCCATACCTCAATCCCAGATGTTGAGGGTGTAGGGCCCGAAACCCTAAACTCCGAATATTGTCGGGCATGCGACCTCGAAGAAACCGCGCCGAGTCCGACGCTGCGCTGCAGATCGCCAGGCTTGCAAGCATCACCCACTGCTTGCGCATGGGGGTGTGCCACATCCCGGCAGCTCACTTGATCTTCATATGGGTAGCTGCCATCTCCAAATGGGTAGAAACTTGAGCA